TTCTCTTAGAATTGTCCACAGTATGGCATTAAACTTGTCTGTCTTGTGTTTATTCAGTTGCAGTTGGTTTTGTTAGAAGTTTAATCTCGTACTGTGTTTTTTTTAGGCAAAGCAATAACATCTCCACAGAAACAAGAAGGTTGCAGATTCATCTTCAAGAAAAGTTACATAGAACACTTTTAAGTATTATGTAGTCAGAATACTGTTTAACATTTACATTTTCCTCTTTGTATTGTTGCAAATATAAATATATGATAACTAATACAATATTATTCAAAAGATTTTTGTGAGGAAAGTGTCTTGCCAAGAGATAGTTTTTCCAGTTAATAACACAGCACTTTATACTTCGAAAAAAAAAAAAAAGCTGCCAGTCTGCACCATCGCCTCCTCTGACCACCACCACTCGTGCACACAACACTTTCATACTAGACAAAGTGGGTGAAGTGTCTTGCCTAAGGACACAATGACAGAACCTGGTCCAAGTCAGAATTGATCCTCTCAGGTTGGGGGATCACTGCTCTGAACACTGAGCCACTGTCGCTCCAGTGAAAGGTAAACTCACAATTTATTCCACTTCCCTGATCCGTATGAAACAATATTGGTCCATAGACTTTTGTGACGTCATGTGAAACTCTGCAGTATGAGACCATCTATTCATTAGCTCAACTCTTTGTAAAGTATTGATTTAAATGTCCAGTTATTCCTCAGCCCATCTACATACATCTGTACAGATACATCTTTATAGATGATGCCAGCGCAGATAGAATGAACATGTATTGGCTGTAAGGCAGAGCCCAGGCAGACTGTCAGGGCAGTCTAAGCATGATGGATGGACAGACGTGTGGCTCCCACGGCTCGCTGCAACATTTGGGTTTATTACAGTGTTAAGGTATTCATCATACTGACACCGCCACTATGCTAACTCCAGATCAGCTTCGGAATAGCAACAAAGTGCACAGGGGAGGTGTGGCTGTTTGAGGAATGATTTTCAAACTTTATGCACAAAATTCATATTTCAAATAAAAAAGAAAATCAAGACTAAAAGAAGAATAAAACATGATATAACCAGAATAGAGTTTGGACTGTTGTTTTGAAGACCTTCAAAAGATACAAAATTCAGTTTTAAATGGCTAATTACAATGTTTATGTGGCAATATGTAACATGTCCCTCCTTGTTTCTATGGCGATGTTATTGCTGTGCCTGGAATGTTCCACAGTATGATCTTTCAGACATTTTTATATGTATATGTGAGCCAGTTTCCCACAGGGGAATGGAGAAGTTAAACTCAAAATATATACTGTTGTTTGTTTTTGGTTCATATAAAGCCCAAATTTCCTTGAGCAGATGAAATATGGACAATTTTATAAAAATACAGAGGCAAAAAAATGTATAATAAATTCAAATTGTAATGAAAATTGGGACATACAAAATTTGACCATGACAAAAGTAACTCAAAGTAACACAAAGTTACATTTTTGTAATATAGTTGCCCAATGCTGATCACAAGAAGCAAAAACTAAATAGAGTCTAAATGGTATAAACTAGACACTTAGTATTTATTCAAACCCAACTGGTCTGGAGGGCTCAACATTTCACGCCGGAGCTTCATTTGAAAACGATTACCTCGACTCCCGCTCCGCTGCACAATATTGACGGAAATACAAATGTGTCCACGGCGACGCAGACTTACGCCGCTAATAACGTCTTTATATAGCCACCTCCGCCCACTCCCGTTCCCAATGACCAGGCAGCGGCAGGGGCGGCAGGGGCGGGGGCCTGTAATTGGCTCCACGTTGGCGGGAGAAGAATTAGCGTGCGGAGCTTCCTGCCAGAGCGCCTGATTAAAAAGGAATCTGCGAGGGATTGTCTCTTGGCGCGAGTGTAATTAAAGGGATTTTGCAAAAGGAAGACGCATCGGACTGAAATGATCGTGCTGGTTTTATTAGGCGAGGTGATGTGAGGAGCGAGGGCTTTACATGTGCCCGTCTGGTAGATTAAAGCTGTATATTACAAGTTCGTGATAAGAGGAACTATTATTGGTGATTGGTGCGTTGTCAAACTCATTAAGAGATCCATTAGACTTCATTACCTTGTCTCCACTACTACAACCGTTACTACAATTTCTACTACCACTACCATCTACTATTACTAATATAACTTTTATTAATCCCACAGTGAGGAAATTCCAGTGTTGCAACGCACAGCTCAAGAATGGCAAGAGACTAGACAATAGAAAATATGCAAAAGTCAAGATAAATAAGTTTAAAAATACACTTTGCAAGTAGAGGAAAAATCACTACTACCAAATACTACTACTACTACAATAATAGGTACACCAATACCAACTACTATTAATGTACTCTTACTACAATTATTACTACTACCACCACCACTACCTATTAGTATTATTACAGTTAACATTATTACACTTTACTACTACTGAGATATGCCGAGATATACTTTGTTTTGACTTGTTAATTGCTACGGCAACAGTGGAAATTTTTTGTGCGTATAATACCATTTTGTTAATTTATTAGGACAAACCGCAATTATAATAAAGGTGCACTGTGTAACTTTACTGGTAAGGGTCCACCACAAGATAGAATAATTCCATAGAAGATATCATTGCTTTGCCTGAAAGGTTTCACAGTATGGCATTAAACTCATCTATGTTGCATTTATTCAGTTTGTGTTTTACTGCTCACAAATACATGCATTCCTACAGTGAACGAGCTCATCTCTCCACAGATCTGACCAGTAACTCGACCTAGAGGCATTGCAGGCTGGTCTCCATGGAAACCGATAAGTTTAATGCCATACTGTATGACATTCGAGACCAGAGGTGTTCAATAGGTGAGAAAAAATAACAGTCCACATCTGTACTCATCTGCAGCAGGACTGATATTGGTAATTGTGCGTGCGTGTATTAGCTGTAAAATTATGTCGCCATGACAACGTGCTCATAGTTTGGAGCGTCACCTTTGTTGCCTTGTATACACCGTGTGGACCTGGACGTGTCTTCTCGTGTACTCTGCGTGGACCGCAACCTCCTCCCGTACGAAGTGTGGGACGCACCTCTAAACCAGAACTAAAACCAGGACTAAAATCAGGTCTAAAACCAGGCCTAAACCAGGACTAAACCAGGTCTAAACCAGGTCTAAAACCAGGTCTAAACCAGAACTAAAACCAGGACTAAAATCTGGAGTAAAACCAGACCTAATCCAGGACTAAAACCAGGTCTAAAACCAGGTCTAAACCAGGACTAAAACCAGGGTCTAAACCAGGACCAAAACCAGGATTAAACCAGGACTTAAACCATGGCAAACCAGGTCTAAAGCAGGTCTAAACCAGGACCAAAACCAGGACTAAACCAGGTCTAAACCAGGTCTAAACCATGGCAAACCAGGTCTAAACCAGGACCAAAACCAGGACTAAACCAAAACCAGGTCTAAAGCAGGTCTAGGACCAAAACCAGGACTAAACCAGGTCTAAACCAGGTCTAAACAGGCAAACCAGGTCTAAACCAGGACCAAAACAGGACTAAACCAGGTCTAAACAGGTCTAAACCAGGACCAAAACCAGGTCTAACCAGGTCTAAACCAGTCTAAACCAGGACTAAACCAGGTCTAAACCAGGACCAAAACCAGGACTAAACCAGGTCTAAACCAGGTCTAAACCAGGACTAAAACCAGGTCTAAACCAGGTCTAAACCAGGACCAAAACCAGGACTAAACCAGTCTAAACCAGGTCTAAACCAGGACCAAAACCAGGTCTAAACCAGGTCTAAACCAGGTCTAAACCAGGACTAAAACCAGGTCTAAACCAGGTCTAAACCAGGACCAAAACCAGGACTAAACCAGGTCTAAACCAGGTCTAAACCAGGCAAAACCAGGTCTAAACCAGGACCAAAACCAGGATTAAACCAGGACAAAACCAGGACTAAAACCAGGACTAAACCATGGCAAACCAGGTCTAAAGCAGGTCTAAACCAGGACCAAAACCAGGACTAAACCAGGTCTAAACCAGGTCTAAACCATGGCAAACCAGGTCTAAACCAGGACCAAAACCAGGACTAAACCAGGTCTAAACCAGGTCAAAACCAGGACTAAACCAGGTCTAAACCAGGTCTAAACCAGGACTAAAACCAGGTCTAAAACCAGGACTAAAACCAGGTCTAAACCATGGCAAACCAGGTCTAAACCAGGTCTAAACCAGGACCAAAACCAGACCAAACCAGGACCAAAACCAGGACCAAAAACCAGGACTAAACCAGGACCAAAACCAGGACTAAACCAGGTCTAAACCAGGACTAAAACCAGGACTAAACCAGGACTAAAACCAGGACTAAATCAGGACTAAACCAGGTCTAAACCAGGACCAAAACCAGGACTTAAACCAGGTCTAAACCAGGAGTAAATCAGGACTAAACCAGGAGTAAATCAGGACTAAACCAGGTCTAAACCAGGACCAAAACCAGGTCTAAACCAGGATGAAAACCAGGACTAAAATCTGCACTAAATCCTACTCTAAGGGGAGGCTCATATTCACCCAATTCACCTAACCCCTGTTCTAGACTAAGCAATAACATTTCCACAAAGACGGGCAGGTAGCGGGCCCTTCAACAGAAGGTTCCATAGTGCACCTTTAAGCATAAAAGCATCAGGGAGACCAAAGCAAGTTACGGGTCAGATCTGTAGAGAGGCGACCCCGCTCACAGTCAGAATGCCTGGACTTGAGTGGAACATTCCAAGCAGAGCAATATTTCCATAGAAACGAGAAGGTGACCCACTACCAAAAAGTTACACAGTGCACACAGAATCCACTCTTAGATGAACCACACAGTTTGGGAATTAAACCTAGGACTTTTTTGGGGTGCTGCTACACTTCGAGATACATTTCCTAAAGACAAAAGAGCAGCTATCTTTGTGTGCTACTGTGGCTTTGACATGTCACAGGGAGCATTAGTCAGGCTGTTCCTTTGTGTTGCCATGACACTCACTTGAATCCAGGCGAGACGGTGGAGCAGGTTCCAGACTTGAGCCAGACGCAGTAAGGATCGCGCGAGGCCAGACAGCTCCTGCGAGGGAAACACAAAACATCACAGATTAAACCGTGTCCCTGTGTCACTATAGTTCTGTTATGTGACAACTTTCCACCGTTCCAGTGTCCAATGTCCAGCGGCAATTTTATAAGGACGACAAAAATAGGTTCTGACAATACACCAACTCCATTTGACACAATTCATTTTTTGCAGATTGTTGGTGCTGACCGTAGCAGTGAGGCTTTATTTTATTTTATTTTTTTGCTATGAAAGAAGAGTCGAATAAAAATGTGGAACCGTCTCCGAATTGACCAGTCAGCAATCCATTGACAGTTCTATTTTTCCTAGGAGGAGGACTGTTGCCATAGCGATTAACAATATAAACAAGGACGAAAACAGGCCCTGATTATTCACCAACGCCATTTGACAGTATTTATTTGACTTTTCGCACATCATCGGTACTGATCGTAGCAGTGGGAAACAGCAGAATAAAAATGTGGATCCATCTTTGAACTGAGCAGTCAACAATCACTATGTATCCATGGGTTTCAGAGTTATGAAAAGGACTGTTGCCATAGCGATTAACAATATAAACAAGGACGAAAATAGGCCTTGACTTGACTTTTTTGCAGATCGTTGGTACTGCAGTGAAGATTTTATTTCATTTTTTTTAAACTATGAAAAACAGTAGAAAAAAAATAGAAAGCCATCGTTGAACTGACTAGTAAACAATCCCTATGTACTAAGTATCCATGGGTTTCCGAGTTATGAGAAAGACTGTTGCCCTAGTGATTAACAACATAAACAAGGACAAAAATATGCTCTGAAAATAGGCCAATGCCATTTGACAGTTTATTTGACATTTCACAGATTGTTGATACTGACTGTGGCAGTAAAGATTTATTTATTGTTTTAAACTATGAAAAACAGAATAAAAATGTGGCCTTTGTATCCATGGGTTTCCCAGTTATGAGAAGGACTGTTGCCATAGCGATTAACAATATAACATCATATGGTTTATCTCTTTAGTGGGTATGGGTAAGTTGTATAACAGGAAGTTAAAACCCATGAACGGCTTGCAATACTTTTTCTTTAAAGATGCACTATGTAACTTTTCCTGAGGGTGTCATCTGTGTAGCCATACCAGCTTGTCAAAGACTGATCCCATCTGATCTCAGAAGCTAAGCAGGGCCGAGCCTGGTTAGTACTTGGATGGGAGACTGCTGGGAAAATCAGGTGCCACAGTGGGGCGCCAGTGGTAAAACTGTCGCTGTGTCCTCAGGCGAGGCACTTCACCTGCATTATCTAGTATGAAAGTGGTGTGTGCGTGAGTGGTGGTGGTGGTCAGACAGGTCAACAATGGCGGAGATTGGCAGCCTCGCTTCAGTCAGTCTGCCCCGAGGCCTCTGGTGCTATTTTACCACCACTGAATATGGACTGTAAAGCAACTTTGGGTGTCTTGAAAGGTGCTGTATAAATGCAAGGATTAATTTAAAAAATAATTAATCTGCTTGTGGAGGAGGCAGCAGAGAAGACCCAGGACACGCTGGAGGGTCTATGTCTCTCGTCTGGCCTGGGAACACCTCAGGGTCCCTCTGGAGGAGCTGGAGGATGTGTCTGGGATGAAGAAGTCTGGGAGTCCCTATTCAGCCCTGGATAAGCGGAAGAAAATGGATAGATGGATAATCTGCTTGTCTCCATGAGATATTATTATGTTACCTCGAATGTTCCACAGTGTGATATTAAACTGATCCATCTTTATTCAATTACAGGTGTTTTTTGTTTGTTGCCAAAATCATGCCTTAAAGCTTGCCTCTCCACATACCACACCAGTAAAGTGGCCTTGTTTGTCTACAGATAGATAGATAAGTTTAATGCTATAGTGTGGAGCATTTTAGACAAAGAAATAAACAGGTGGCTCATATTAAAGGCCTGTACTAGATTTTTCCTTTATATTTGAACAAATGTTATTTCCATGTTATTAGTTCCAGTACAGATATATTGCATAAGCAGCTCTTGAGGTCAAAATATGTCCCCTACAAGCTGTCTGCATCTACTTATAAATGAGCATTTTATTGTCTGATATTCAGAAAGTGCGCTGTTGGCATGCTAGATCTTATTAGCTTTATGACATGACCCCAAAACTTCATTCTGGCCTCTGAAAGTTTAGAAAAACACATATAAACTCATCATGGTGATTGATTAGGATGCTCTGAATGCATAAGATAAGTGCAAATGATTTAAAATTTAAGTCTGATATTTTTTTTCCGAAAACTTGTAAAATATGCAAAGCGGTTTTCAGCGTTACCCAGATTGGTTTATGAAGATGAATAGAATTTAATAGCAGCTCTTCTGTGATTCAGATGTCCCCAAGAAAAGCAAAGCCAGTGTTGTTTCTCTCATGAAAACATAATCCAATTTCCTGGATGGTCCTTATTACAAACCATTATTTTTGTTTAGACTTTTAATAACCAAAAACAAGGGGAAGAAGGCATCCATTTTGAGATAGAGTGATCACGAGCTGTTGTACTTTTACGCTGGTCCCAAGTTTGTGTAATGAGAATTATGCATCAAAGTGCCAAATTATAACTTTACACAAACTCGTGATCCATGGTCTCTGTCAAAGTGAACTTTCTCAAAATGCAAATGGGAGTAATCTACACAAGCATTCCAATTAATACTTCTACATGCAGTAATCTTTCACTAGTACTGCAGCTTCTGTTAGCAACACATGATAGGCTGTAATCAATATCAGAGTTTAATCCAAAAACTTTCATTTAGTCTTTTTTTGTGCATTATCTTCTTGGGTTCTTTTTAAAGACAGTTCTGAAGATGGCTTGCAGCTCACAGCCCAAACATGTCTAAAAGATAAAAACTTTTACTGTAGTGTCTTTTAAAAGAACCCAAGAAGTTCAAATATCATAGTTTCCTCTTAGCTGTGGTCATGATGTTGTTAAAATGGCTTAAGATTTTATCCAAAACTTTATGACTGAAAACCAATGGATACAAATTTAATGAAAACAATCTAATTATTATAAGCTAAAATATACAAAAATAACACAAAATGACAACTTTAAATAGTCACCACCCATTCATCTATCCATTTTCTTCCACAGTCTAAGCAGGGACTCCCAGACCTCCCTCACCCCAGACACTTCCTCCAGCTCCTCCGGGAGGACCCCAAGGCATTCCCAGGCCTGCCGAGAGACATAGTCCCTCCAGCGTCTTCCTTGGGGTCTCCTCCCAGTGGGACATTAATTAATCATTGCTTTTATATAGCACCTTTCAAGATATCCAAAGCGCTTTACAGTTCATTATTCATTCACTCCACACTCAGTGGTGGAAAGCTACTGCTGTAGCCACAGCTGCCCTGGGGCAGACTGACATGCCCGAAACACCTCTCCAGGGAGGCGTCCAGGAGGCATCCGGAACAGATGTCCGATCCACCTCAACTGGCTCCTCTCGACGTGGAGGAGCCAAAGGAACAACATGGAACATTTCTATATAAACAAGCAAGAAGAAGCGAGAAGTCTGTAAAGATGCAAGTCCTCTCACGATAAATAGTGAATCATGAAAAATTAAATGAAAATACATGCTGCATTTTAGTCTATTCATAATGTGGCTTTAATGATTTAGTGATCTCGTGTACAATTCATAGTGTTTTGAAAAACTTGAGAAAAGATACAACCAAACACGGGAGACCACACATTAGGGTTTTGCATGAACTGAAATCTTTTGTCAGTTTAAAAACCGCATTAGCAACTATCAAAATCCAAGCTAGTCATCTCATTTTCTCCAACAGCCTAAATAAATGACGGTGTACATTCTCCTCGCTCGCAGCATTCACATCCCCTCGGCCCTGAGACCTAATTACACAACACTTATGTGAATGGGACACTGGCAGATAGCGTCGTGTACAAACAAACTCTCAAAGCAGACTATCTCACCGAACAGCGTACGAAGCGAGCTCCTTCAAACGCGCTCAAATGCTAATGCGTTCCTCGAAAACATTTGGGGCGAGTGAGGAGAGACGCTTTATAACGAGGCGGTACACGGTTTGTGAACGTGGAGGTTCGAATGAGGGAAGCGCGCAGTAAAAAAGACAGGTTTCAAGAGTAGGGACCAGTAAGTTGGACTTGTTTAATGCCCTACTGTGGAGCATTTTAGGCAAAGCAATAAATAAGCAGCGTATATGAAAGGCCCTACCTGATTTTCCCCATGTATCTGCCTCCCATAAGCATTTTCTTGAGGTCTCCTGCATACTGTCTTTATCTAGTTATAAGGTGTTCTATTGTCAGTAGGGATGGACATGATTAGTCGATTAATCGATAATTGATTATTAAGAATTTCATCGATTACATTCATTTTAATCGACAAACTGAATGAATAGCGTGACCAAACAGGGATCTGTACATGTGTCTCTCTGCACTCAGAAGGAGCGAGACACACAAGTCGGTCAGTCTGTAACGTACCGAAGCACAAATGTGTATTTAATGATGACTTGTACAAGAAATTCCACGCATTCCGTTCCGGTCAGGACAAGTGTGAGGCCATGTGCACAGTGTATAAAGCAGCACATATGTTTCAGTGTCCAGTGGGAAAAAGTTTTGCCAGGTGAGAGTAGCACAATGTCGATGACGAGTCCCCACCTCCCTCCCCCCGTACGGTGTCCTGGTTTTGACAAACGCAAATATGGTCACACTAACCTGTATTCCACTGAGTCGTGTCCTTTCCGACAGAAGTTGAACCATGTCAGTGCTGTTTTTTTTTTTCTTTGCTTAGTTTACGCAAATTAACGATGCGGTTTTAAGTTTTGTTTCTGTGAGAATTGTGCAAAGCTGCATTAAACACATTATAATGTCAAACGGGCTGATGTGGCTCTAGAGTGGTTACGGTTTATATGTCGTAAAGTTGAATTTATTTATGCAGATTAGTAGTGCAGATAGTAATAATAATGATGATCATTTTAATATAAAAAAGTTAATGATTAATCGATAATCGATTGTTAATTCTCCCGGCGATCGATTAAGAAAATT